CCCCCAGCGCCGCCGCCAACCCCGCCCCTCCTCTGAGCGCCAGCCCCCACCCCCCCAGCGCCGCGCCGCGCCAGCCCCCGCCCAATAAATAAATTAATAAAAACCTGAGCGCCGCTCCGACCCAAGGTGCCGCCCCAAGCACGTGCTTGGTTGGCTGGTGCCCGGAGCCGGCCCTGCACAGCATGCGCATCCCTATTTTGTCATCAGATTGCCCTGCCACAGAGTACATCAACAGAAAGCTACAAGCAGGGACTTTCTTTCCTGACTGGTGGATTATCATTGGTGATGTTGAAATGCCAATAGTGATCCTGGGGGACCCAGCCAACCCCTTGATCCCTTGGCTCATGAAGCCATACACCAGCCACCTCCACAGCACCAAGGAAAGATTCAACTACCAGTTCACCAGGTGCAGAATGACAGCTGAATGTGCTTTTGGTAGATTGATGGGGCACTGGCATTATTTACTCACCAGATTGGATCTCAGTGAAAAAAATATCCCATTGGTTATAGTTGTCTGCTCTAATCTGCATTATATCTGTGAAGCAAAGGTTGCCCCCAGGGCAGAGGGTGGAGGTGAAGCAGCTCTCTGCTGAGTTTGAACAGCCAGATACAAGGGCTGTCAGAAGAGCTCCATGAGGGGCTCAACAGCTCAGGAAGGCTTTGACAGAGCACTTTAGCAGCACGCCACAGTAATGTGTTATGGTGTATTGTGCTCTCCCTGGCCTTGCAGTTTGGGGGCCCGTTAGGAATTACGTGGTGCTTGGTGCACAACTGTATGAATAACACTAACAATGCACCTATTACTTTTGTGGTGCTTGCTGCACATTTATGATCATTACACTGTGTTTGACACTGATCCTATGAGTTGTGTCAAAGTGCACAATCACAAGTAAGTGGGTGCTTTCAATACTGCCAGCCATTCTGCAGCATATCTTGGGAACGAAGAAAGATGAATTATTTTCCAAACAATAAGAGTTTTATTGAGTAAAAAAAAAAACAGGTTAAAATTCTATGCAAGTTACAAGCAAATACATTAAAACCTTAACAAATTTATGGAACAGAGCTTAAAGAGGAGGGAGGAAGATTCATGTCCATTTTAGCCACATATACATCAACCGTGGCTCTCACAAATCAGCACATTTGAAGTTATGGTTGTCCTTAATGTCCTTCGGAGTGGAGTGGTAGGGGTAAGGATGCGATTCCATATGCCATGTGTAATGTTGAGGGGGTATGTAGGAAGGTGCTCTGCTGCAGCTGTTCATGGACTGCGAAGGCAGGTGTGCCTGGGATTGTTGAATCTGTTGGACCACAAGAGTCTGCAGCTTCTGTGTTTGCTACCAGAAAAGCCCCATCATGTCTTGGTGCATCTTCCTCTCCAATTCCTTGGCCTTTCTCCTGACTGCTCCTTCCTTTTCCATACAGTCTGCAATATTCATCCTCCAGACCCTCTGTTCATGGTCTGATGCTGCACTGGCTTGCGGGGGGGGGGGGAGGGGGAGGGGGAGGGATCTTTCTGAAAGTGTCATCCCAAGTCCTCTTCTTTCTTCTCCTTATCTGGCTCAGGCATTCCTCAGGTGTGGAGAGGGAACCCTTCAAGTCTGCAATGGCAGCAGCTACAGGTAAAACACACTGTCGGTATAGCTCCCAGGAAAGCAAAAGTTAAGATTCAGAACTCCCTCCCCTGGCTCCCCTAAAGTTGTAAACAAGACATACTTATTGATACTTCTGCTTCGGGGTGCTTGTGTACAGTGCCACTCACAACTCCAGCCATGGTATGACCCGCCAGAGGTGAGGGAAATAAGGAGGGAATTGCTCAGTTGTGTGAAACTATGGGTACACAGGCCAGGGCAATGGTACTAAATATTGGCACCATTTTCCACAGGCAGTAGTGATTTTAGCTGATACCTCAGTCCTGCGGGCAACAAATGCAAAGAAAGCACAGCTGCTACTGGTGTCCTGAAACCGCCTGGGCCTTTACGCTGCTACCCTGTCTACTGCAATAGTTATTGTCAATTGGCAAGGGAAAGTGTCCTACTGCAGAGGAAGAGATAAGGCTCCCATCCCTAGAAACCTTCAGCAGAGGATAGCAGAGTACCTCCATGAAAGTGTCACCAAGATCTCTCAGGAGGATTCAAGGGACATCCCTGTGTACATAAACTGCTCTGCCTGGCTCCTCTGCATAACTCTACTGCGGGAATGAAAAGCCAATAACAATGCTAGCTCTCTTTGTTGTTCCGCTACCTCTTCTAGTATAAATAAATTAATGAAAAGTTGACAGCTGTGTCCTGCTAATTTGAGGGCACCAGCACTGTAATGGGAAATAAATTTACACTCTTACCTGAGGTTCCATCTCCTGCACCGGGCTTGCCTGTGCTCAACTACCAGGACTGACTGGACTGCAGTGGAATCTCAAACAGGTCCTGGCTCACAGCATAGCTGGCCCCCGGTCACGTGTTCCCTATCCTCTTCTTTCTCTTCTGCCTTCTCCTCATCCTCACTGTTCATACCATGGGCCAGTGACTCAGGATCCTCAGAGGTATCCATGGTGGTGTGGGGAGGGGTCTACACCAATTATGGCATGCAGCTTTTTGTAAAAGCAGCAGGTCTGCGACCTAGCACCGTATCTACTTTTGGCCTCCCTGGCCTTCTAATATGCTTGCCACAGTTCCTTCGCTTTCATACGGCACTCCTGCTGATCCCTGTTGTAGCTCTTCTCCTGAATTCCCTGTGCAATCCACTCATAGATGTCCACCTTTCTACAGCTAGTCCATAGCTGTTCTTGGACAGCCTCTTCTCCCCACAGACCAAACCAGAGCACATCTGGATCATGTAACGGGATGGTCAGCTGGGCAGTTGTGCATAACAAAGGAGAGCTGCTACGTATGCTTACCAACTTGAACAATCAGGAAAAGGCACTTCAAAAATTTGCAGGGCTTGAAAGCAGAAGGGGCCTTCTGGTCCCCATGACCCTGGGCAGTGGAATTAACAATTGTAACCAGAGCGCTCAGCGTCAAGCATTGTGGGACAGCTTCTAGAGAACTGTTAGGGTCAACATAGGTAACACAGTGTCTATATTTGTACTGCATCAAACTCAATGCATTGACCATGGCTCAATGCCACTTGGGGATGTGGTGTTACTACATCAGAATAACAGACAATAACAGACATTGGGAGACACATTTAAGTGTAGAAATTTGCACAATTAGGTCAACAATAGGCAGCTTATGTCAATCTAACTTTGTAGTATAGAAAAGGCCTCTGTTACTAATGGATTGGAAAGCAGGTCATCACCCTTCTGTGATATAAATACATCATCCTGCTTCTTTCCAAATATAAAACAGAAATAGTTATAGAACGCTTCTGCCTTTTTTGGATCATGAATAATAATTTTATCACCTCCATCTAGTATACCTATATACCCTATATACCCATGCCAGGATTTTTTTGTTCCTAGAATACTTTAAAAAAATCCTTCTTATTGTTCTTAGCCATGCCAGCCATAGATTTTTCCCTGATGTGATTAGCTTCCCTTTTCAATTTTCATTATATATCTAATTTATATTGATTGCTATCTACTTCGCTTCTTTTCCATTTGTTATGTGGATAATTGCTGCCTCCACTATTTCTCTTAACCAGGATGGACTTTTAATCAAAGTTGTCCTCTTTCATGTTTGTGGAATTGTGGTATTTTGGTAATCTAATAAACTCTTCTAAAATAAATCCCCATTTTCATTCACATTTTTCTGTCTAAATTTTTCCTTCCAATCAATTTCACTTATAATCTTCCTCACCTCACCTTCCTCATCATCATCATCATCTATAATTTTTAGAAATTCTAGTGATGTTTTACTATTGGCTCCATGAGACCTCCATTTTATGTCTCCCAAATTAAAGTCCCCCATCATATGCAATATTTCTTTCCACACATTAGAGATAGGTGTGTAATTGCTTATTAATTCATTTTGCTCTTA